CCTGGTTAAAATATAAATCAGATCATGTCACGCCTCTGCACAAAACTTTACTTTTGTCCAACATGGTAGCCTTTAGCCATATGTGTATCTGATCTGAAATATGGTTTGTCTGAATTAAAACATGCTGTAATTGTAAAATGCACTCTGGATTTCTAAGACTTAGTATGAAAAATAGAATGTAAAATATCTTGTTAATAATTTTTATATTGATTACATTATCATTGAAATGATAATATTTTGGATATATTGGGTTAAATAAAATGTTATTAAAATTAATTTTACTTGTTGCTTTTTTGCCTTTTGCTTTTTGATAATGGCCACCCTACCATGTATGAAGTGACATTTCATTGTGATTTTGATTTGCATTTCATGATGATTAGTGATATTGAGCATCTTTTCTGTTGGCCATTTGTATGTCTTCTTTGGAGAAATGTCTGTTCAAATCTTTAGCCAATTTATTAATCAGGTTATTAAGTTCTCTTTTTTTATTTGTTTTTGTTTTTCTTGCTCTTGAATTGAAGGAGTTCCATATGTACTTTGGAAATTAACCCCTTATCAGATATATGGTTTGCAAATATATTCTCCCATTCCTTAGATTGACTTTTCACTCTGTTGATTGTTTCCTTTACTGTGCAGAAGCTTTTTAGTTTGATGTAGTCCCACTTACCTATTTTTGCTTTAGTTAACTGTACTTTTGGTGACATATTCATGAAATCATTGCCAAAACCAATATTTAAACCTTTCCTCCTATGCTTTCTTGTAGAAGTTTTACAGTTTCAAGTTTACATGTAAGTTTTTAATACATTTTGAGTTGATTTTTGTGTATGGTATAAGATAAAATTCCAATTTCATTCTTTTGTATGTGGATACCTAGTATTCTAAGCACCATTTGTTGAAAACACTGTCTTTTCCACATTGTGTATTCTTGGCACCCTTGTTGAAGATCAGTTGCATAGACTGATTTCTGGGCTCTCTGTTCTGTTCCGTTGGTCTGTATGTCTGTCATTATGCCAATATCATAATGTTTTAATTACAGAAGACCTTAAATATCCCAAACAATTTTGAAAAAGAACAAAGCCGATCACACTTCCTGATTTCAAAATATATTACAAAGCTAAAGAATCTTTCAGTATCTTAAAGCATAACTTTACTCCTGTGAAAAACTGTTGTGCTGAGTTCCAAATAGCACTGGGATAATGGCAGCTGCCTAAATCCTAATCTCTTCACATATCCTCCCCCAAAACCTGTTAATTCAACAAGGAGCACAAGTAAACACATTCATGAAATTATTCTTATAGCATTAATAGGAGACCAAGGATACCACAGACTTCAAATAATCTGTAAATAGAAAAATAAACAAAATTTCAAACAGAGCTCCTGTCGCTGCTGCAAATACGGAGAGTGGAGGAGGAGTCTTTAGAATCTCTGTGGAAAAGAGGAGAGGGGAGCAGGAGGCTTGGAAGAAGCACACTGAAAATCTCCCTCAGAAAGAGAAAATCTAAACTAAAGTGTTAAAAGTCTAAACAGAGGTCAGGTCGGGGAGTTGGTAATTCACAGGGAAGGAATACAGGGTATTCCTGTATTCCAGGAATACAGGTAATACAGGGAAGGAATTTGAACATTAGCAGGAATAGAGGAGGCAGCCTTGGCAAAACATTGCCTCTGGAGGAGAAGGAGATAAAAAAGCAGTGGAGATGCCCCTCGGATCCCTGGAAGTAAAGAGAAGAAGGAAAGTAACAGGGGGGAAATTGAAGATTCTACAGAAATAGAAAAGAACCAGAAGACATGCCAGTTACTCCCTATGACCCCTGATAACTCAACATCATCCATTAAATAAACTGAACTTCACTGTGCTAACAGAAGGAAATACTGTCAAACTAGGATCCATGTCCATGAAATGCCTAGTAATAGGAGAAATCATAAATAAAGAATAAATTACAAGGTGTCTAAGGGAAATATATTGAAATGAAAATTTAAGTCATTGAATTTCAAAGAAGAATTTAAGTGAGGTAAAGAAAGACAGTAAACGGGTTCTAGAGAAAGTAGTTGAAATGGAAGACAGACAACAAAGATCCAGCATGTAATTGGAATCTCTATAAAAGAAAAACAAAATATTTGAACCAAACAAATGCTTGAAGATATAATCCAAGAAAACTTTCCAGAAATAAAGAAAACCTAAATCTGTATATCAAAAAGACCTACTTTGTACCTTTTTGACTCAGACTGCTCAACCCTAAGACATATCATAATAAAACCATTAGACTTTTTAAGCAAGGGAAGATTCCTCAGGACCTCAAGCAAAAAGAACAAGTTATGTAATGGCTGAGAAAATTAGTCTGACATCAGACTTCTCAAGAATAGCATACAAAGTAAGGTAAGAGTAGAGCAGTATTTTCCAAGAAACTCAAGGGTAGAAAGTATGAGCCAAGGATGTTCTGTCTAGCTGTCCTTCATATCAAGGCTATAGAATATAGTTTAAAACATACAAAAATTCAGGGAATACTGAGCCCATGAGTCCTTCCTGAGCAATCTGCTAGAGCAGTGGTTCTCAGAGTGTAGTCCCTAGACAGCAACATCAGAGTCACCTGGGACCTTGTTAAAAATGTATATTCTCAGGTCCACCTCAGACCTGCTAAAATCAGAAGCTTTGGCATGGAGTATATCAATTTGTGTTTAAGCAAGCCCTGCAGGTGGTTCTGATGCACATTCTACAGGAGAATGAACTTCTTCCAGCAAAGGGATGATTGAGGAAACTTTGGCAGAGGACTGATCACAAGCATTTAATACATTGATTGTAGATTTAAGTCTAAGACATGAGTGGCGACATGATTGAACAACAGTATGTAAAGCATTTTGTATATTGCCAAAGTAGATAGAAAGAATACAACTGAAAGATGAGAGAATAAGAGACACAGAAAGGCAAAAGTAGAATTAGACCATTAATTGTTGTATAGGCGGAAGTCAGAGGACACCATTTAAAACTGATAAACAAGATAGTAAAAGGATAAGAAAGGGCTTCCCTGGTGGCGCAGTGGTTGAGAGTCCGCCTGCCAATGCAGGGGACACAGGTTCGTGCCCCGGTCCGGGAAGATCCCACATGCCGTGGAGTGGCTGGGCCCGTGAGCCGTGGCCGCTGAGCCTGCGCGTCCGGAGCCTGTGCTCCGCAATGGGAGAGGCCACAACAGTGAGAGGCCCGCGTACTGCAAAAAAAAAAAAAAAAAGAAAAAAAGAGGATTAAGGGCACCGTAAAAGATAAAATGGCAAAGGTAACTAGTAGAACAGCTCAACTAAATGCAATACATGATCCTGTACTGCAAAAAAATTACTAAGAGAACCTTATTAGTACAGTTGATGGAACTGGAAAATGGAATGTAGATTAAGTAAAAGTATTGATCAATATTAAACTACTTCAACTTGATAACTGTACTGTGAATATTCAGGAAAATATTCTTGTTCATAGGGAATACATGCTAGTGATAGGGTAAAATGGCATGATATATGTAACCTACTCTCAAATAGTTAATAAAAAGTGATAAACATTTGAGAGAGAAAAAGAAAACATGGCAAAATGTTAAAATTTGTTGAGCCTGTAAAGGGCACATGGGAGGGTTTTTTGTACTATTCATGCAAATTTAATGTAAGTTTGAAATTATTACAAAATAAGAAGTTTTAAAAAGTTATGTCAATCAGTCATTTCCAAGTAAATCATTTAGGTTACCCCAATTCCCTGTTACATAGGTTTATTGTATGTATTTGAATGGAACAAACTTTCACTTCTTTAAAATATCCTATACTTCAGACCTTACTAATGCATATCAGTCATCTCAGTAAATTTGAATTTAGTGAACTTTGTGAGAACAAGACAGACAGTGATGACTAGTGTTATCTTTCTCCTCAGAAGGAGCAAAATCATGCTAAAAATTGCTAGATATAAGAATAGATTTTGATACTAAAAATTTAAAGATTGGAATGGCTTTATAATTTTCTTAAAGCATTTAAAATTATGCTTGCCAGCAATTCCACTCCTGGGTATGTGTACAAAAAAACCCAAAACACTAATTTGAAAAGCTACATGCACCCCAATGTGCACAGCAGCATTATTTACAATAGCCAAGATATGGAAGCAACCTAAGTGTTTATGAACAGATGAGTGGATAAGGAAGATGTGGTATGTATGCACAATGGAATACTACTCAGCCATAAAAAAGAATGAAATTTTGCCATATGCAACAACACGTATGGACTTGGAAGTTATTATGTCGGACAGACAAATACTGTATGATATCACTTATGTGGAATCTAAAAAATACAACAAACTAGTGAATATAACAAAAAAGCAGACTCACGGATATGGAGAACAAGCTAGTGGATGCCAGTGGGGAGAGGGAAGGGGGGAGGGGCAATATAGGGGTAGGGGACTATGAGGTACAAATTATTAGATATAAAATAAGCTACAAGGATATATTGTACAACATGGGGAATATAGCCAATATTTTATAACTATAAATGGAGTATAACCTTTAAAAATTGTGAACCACTATACATACACCTGTAGCATGTAATATTATACAACTCTACTTCAGTTAAATTTTTTAAAAAATTTTTAAGAATAAAAATAAATAAAAATATGATTACCATTTATGTACTCAGTATGATTTGAAGCTAACAAGAGATGGAAGTTCATTTTATTATTTCTTCACATTTTTCACCCCATAATTCTATCATCATTTACTATAAACCTCAGGTGGACAAAACAGAAAACATTTTGCATTGAATACTTAGGCTTTTCACTTTGCACTGCTTAGTCCAAACCAAATATCCAGCAAATAAGTCTAGTTGTTTCTTTCTAAAGACGGTAAAACTCAAAAGTATTAATGTGAATTAGGGTGGAAATAGTAAAGATGCGTACAAATGGCTTGTCCTACTGTTAAAAATGTTATTTATACCAGCTTCAACCCAAGTTTTAAAATGATAGTGAAGCACTTTTTCTTTTTAAAGATATGGATATAATGAGACCCTTAATAAATGAGCAAAACTATGATGGGACATCAGATGAAGAACATGAGCAAGAGCTCCTGCCTGTTCAGAAGCGTTACCAGCTTGATGATCAAGAGGGTATTTCGTAAGTGTTAAGGTTAAATGTCATTTTCTCTTTTCACTCAGTGTATATTTTGTAATCATCTTCTATGGACCAGGCACTTAAGTAGATACTACAGAAGACACAAAGATGAATAAGATACGGTCCCCACCCTCAAGGCGTTTATAGTCTATTTGGGAAAGAAGAAATACATCTAAATTACAGAGCCATGTGTAGGAATTACTAAAACGATGATATGTACCAAATGCTATGGATCTTGAAAGAAGGGAGATCAGATTGAGATGAAGAGAAATTTTAAGAGAAGGGCCTTCTGAAATGGTTAGGAGTTAGACCGTGGGAAGTAGGTAATAAACACTTCTTTATGTTGAGTGAATGGTATGAAACAAAGTCATGGTCCCAGGGAAGCAGTGGAACATTTTTTAAACTTTTTTTGTTATTTTGTCATCATTAATAGATTTGAATAAGGTATTATTCTAATAGTGATTTAACAGTTAAGCAAAGTAACATTTTAATTGATCAAAAAAGAATAAAGTAAAAAAAATTTTAGGCAGGTATTTTTGTTTCATAAGTTAAAAAATTGTGCTATTCTTCCTAGTTTAATTTGTTTTTTCTTGGTCAAGAGACCTCCTTCAAATGCCTCTTGGAAACTTTTCTTAGGTGAAATCCCTTGGGAGTTCATGTTGTCTGAAAGTTAATTAGTATTTATCTTACCTGATGATACACATAGTTTTAGAAATTATATGTTTTTTCTTTTAATTAACTTCCTCTGAGGTTGATAATCATAGATCAGCTATGTTTAATATCATGATTACATAGATAGTGCAATAAATTGCTGTTTTACCAGCTTAGCTGTATATAATCTTCAACATTGTTCTGAATATCATAGCAGCAAAGAATCTTATGAGAAAATTACCTTTTCTTTATTACTTTAATAAGTACAAAAATACTTTCACTTAAATAACTCATTTAATCTCCATAGTAACCCTCTGTATTCCACTTTTAAGTAGCAAAGATAGGACTTGAACCAAATATAACTTTTGGCTCATTCAACTTCTGGTTGAATGGAAATGTTAATTTGATTCCTTGCCTAGATTAATTTTTAGTTCCCTTCTAATGCTAAAACCATGGTCATGTGATTTTAATAGCTTTTGTTCTAAAATGTTTAAATCTTACAACTTTTACTTTTCAGGTTCGTACAAACTCTTATGCATCTTCTTAAGGGGAATATTGGAACTGGTCTTTTAGGACTTCCACTGGCAATAAAAAATGCAGGCATAGTGGTAAGACTCATCTTTGTAATCTCTAGTTAAAATACAGTTATCAGTCTTAATTTACAGCAAAAATTACAAGTTAACATCTGACCTAGTCAAATATAACCTGGTCAGGTGACAACTAGATAATCATTTAGCTGTTGCTGATAAAATTATGTGAACTGTGATAATAATATCTAAAAATGAGAGTTAATTACTCTTTTCATTTCTACTTAATTACTTATTTATAATATTTGACAGAAAGATCCTAAATCACTATTTGATTTTTCCTGGTATGTTTATATCTTATTATTCTTTTGGATTTTCAGGAATTTAAGTAATATGTTCATATCGACAAATATATTTATAGAGTATTTGTATTGGTGACATTTTATAGTTTTTTAGATTCCAAATAAAATATGTAGTTTTCAGACTTAAAGAATAATAGTTAAGAAAAGGAATAACAATATCTTTTTTTGTTTGTTTGTTTTTGTTTTTTTTTGTTTTTTTGCGGTACGCGGGCCTCTCACTGCCAGGGCCTCTCCCGTTGCGGAGCACAGGCTCCGGACACGCAGGCTCAGCAGCCATGGCTTATGGGCCCAGCCGCTGTGCGGCATGTGAGATCTTCTCGGACCGGGGCACGAACCCATGTCCCCTGCATTGGCAGGCGGACTCTCAACCACTGCGCCACCAGGGAAGCCCCTAGGAATAACAATATCTTTTGAAAACAAATATTCAGAGTTTTGTTAGAACCAATTATTGTAATTATAGAGAATCCTGATAGCGGAGAATTCACTTATGAAGTAGTGAAATTATATTTAACTTTTTTTAACTGACCAGTTTTCTTAACAACAGTTGTAACTACCATCTTTCTCTGCATTGGACTTTGTCCACCGTAATTTAGAGAAACTTAAAAATTTCTGATTATAAAAATAAACTTTGGCAACATTTTGTCTCTCAATAATCAGGCATCATTTTAATTTTAGTAAATAAATACTTGAAAATTTTTATGTACCACTTTTTCAAATAATTATTTTCTAGGCACAGTTTCTCACACGTAATTCTCAACAAGCAATCTATGGAAGAAGTAGATTGCCCACAATCCCAGATGATACAGTGCTTTTTAGTCATTTAGATAATGATTCATAGTTGCATATACTTATAATGGTGAGACACTGATAGTCACAGACTTGCCATCTGATGTTAAGTATGATGTTGTATTCTATTTTACTTTGTTGCATACCTATACTCTCCATTCATAGGTTTGGATAGCCAAGTCGATAAGATGGAATCATATGTGGTTGTCTTAAATATTACTAAATTCTTTCTGTATCAGGTTCACTAATTTCCCTTATGCAAATGACTCTTTAATCATTTTGTCTAACAAATATTTACTCACTGCAAATCAGTAGTCTGTTGTCTCATTGTTTATAAGGTAACTTGATTTTTATTAAACTGAAATATTTAAATGTTATAAAATGTTTCCCTCACAGCTTGGACCAATCAGCCTTGTGTTTATAGGAATTATTTCTGTTCACTGTATGCACATTTTGGTACGTTGCAGTCACTTTCTATGTCAGAGGTAAATGTGGATTTGTCAAGTCTATTTAATTTATTTTAAATCTATATATTTATTTAAAGTATCAGATAGTCTTATATTTCTACTGTGCTTTGCAACTAGAAGTTGTATTTCCTATAGTCTGTTACATAGACAAGTCTAGGATAATGAATATGGGAAAACGTAGCATTTCATATGATTGCAATCTAGTCAGAATGTATATGCTTCTTTTAAAAGAAGTGAAATAGAATGGTTTCTTTTATTTAGTGTAAGTGAAAAAAATCAGGGAAGTTATATGAGGAAAATGGAGGCAGCAGGGCTACTTTTAGTTAAAGAATAATGGTCTTTAATTTGTTAGTAATTTCATTTTGGGTGTAATGCCTTTGCTGCTCTTTGCTGCTATGTGGGTTGGTAGATAGTCAATGGAACAATATTTTGTTTTCTTTATTTTTGCATCATAAAATGATTCTATTGGATAGTGAACCAACTTTTTAAAAAAATGAATATTTTCTATTCTGATAAACTAATATTCTAATCTTAACTCTTTTGTCGTTGCTAAATGTTCTTAAAACTTTGGGCACATCATTTATGATCTTTAAATAACAATATATACTTAAAAAAAATAGGAGAGACAACATGGCTATTTTGATGATTAAATAGGGTAGTTTGTGTAACAATATATTATAAAGCCCTGTACAGATGTATTAAATAATGCCGTTCTAAGAATGGAATAATTTAAGCATGAACAGTGTAGTTGATGTTTTTAGATAATTGAAACATTTAAATCAGTGAAACACAAATACTACGTTATATGAATTCAACAAATACCTAAACTTTAACAGTGGATAAAAACTAATATACCGGTAAGAAGGGTATATAAAAATTTTTAATTTCATGAGATAACTTTAGAAGTATGCAGATCTCAAAATTTTGAAAACTCCTCTGTCAGTGTATAGCCCATTTATCTGATGTTCTTTTCAAGAAATGGATTTATGGACCAATTAAAATTTTTTCTTTTTCATATGCATGTATGTCATTAAATTTCAGGTTTAAAAGGTCAACATTAGGGTATAGTGACACTGTGAGTTTTGCTATGGAAGTAAGTCCTTGGAGTTGTCTGCAGAAGCAAGCAGCATGGGGACGGTAAGTACCTGCTATGTTATTAGTAATTATTTTAAGTATTAATAATATTTAAAATTACATTAATTTTAAGTATTTTAACCTGGCAAGATAAATTAACAAAAGTGTGATAAAGTTGGGAGGAAACAATATTTAGAGTTAGACAGACTTGGATTCAAATCTCAACTCTACCATCTTACAAATTTATGACCTGGGTCAAAGTATTTTTATTTTGTTTTAGTTTTTCACTATCAAGTGAGTAATCCTGTGAAGTCTAAATAAAATGATATTTATAAAGCACCTAGCTAACCTCTGGTATAATCATGATCAATAATTAAGTAAAGGAAAAAAAGCAAGAGAAATGTTTCTGTCTCTATTTCAAATAAAATTGTGGTGTTTAGCTACATGTTCTTAAGACATCCAAAGTATGTATTTTAGCATAATCTTGTTTTTATTTTTGTATTGTTTAAATGTAACTTTATTATTGGTGGACATGGCTAATCAAAATCAGGTAAATACAGGACTGGAAAATAAGCACAGGCAATTCACAACATGCTGACTGTGGTACAAATGATACGTGCGGTGGAAATTAAAAGAAGGAAATGAGCAGTGTTGGTAGAGTAGTTTATGGTTCAATATGGCCTTTCTGGGGATTTTCAGGATGTTAGATGTGTTTATGAGCTGCTCAGAGTTCACAGCCTGATATGCTGTGTGGGAGAAGGAAGAAAACAGAGCCTAAGGCCCTAGGGATTTACCCCCAGAGCCCTGTCTTCTTCCTTCTTCGCCCCCAGTCTATAGGCAACTTTGTCTACTTTTTTCTATCAAAAAGAATGGCTTTCAGATAGAAGTGGCTGGAATGATTGTTGGTAAGGATACTAAAATCAGAGGTGGATGAAGAGATCTTAAGGGAATACCTTATGTGTAATTCATCAGTGAGAAGAAACTTGAATTCATTTCAAGGTACCAAGATTACTAACTAAATGAGATCCCTGAAGAACCATAGAGAACTAGAGAGTTATGGCAAGAATGAAGATGGGCACGGGCCCTTCAAGTTTCAAATGGGAGGAGGAGGGTCTGTAGATTTTTTAGACTAGGTTGCTTGACAGCTTGACATTAATGGTCAAACAAGAGACTATAACGAATTAGTAAGTGCAAGCTCTTGTGTCACTAATTGTTCCCAGAACAATAGGGAAAGGTATGGGCTGTATACTAATAACATGTAGGCTGACTTTTGATTATAATAATACCTAAATAAAGCTCATTTGACCGGTGATTTCCCTTTCCTACTCCCATATGCTATTTTATGTAGCTGGAATTTTTTAGAGTATCTAAAAAAATATGAACAGAGCTAAGCTCCTGGAGAGGTCTCTGGTGGAATGACTTAGGGCCATGCCCCCAGTCCTCTCCCATTCCTGTTCTTATTAGTGATTTGGATAGTAGGGAATATGTTCATCCTGTTTGCTGGGAAATACGCTGGGTTGATCTGAAAAAGATCTTGAGAAGTAGGAGAGATGGGCTTAAACTAACTGATGAAATGTTTTCATGAAATCATTTTATAGACAGATACTCTTTTTTTTTTTTTTCTTTTTTGCGGTACGTGGGCCTCTCCCTGCTGTGGCCTCTCCCGTTGCAGAGCACAGGCTCCGGACGTGCAGGCTCAGTGGCCATGGCTCATGGGCCCAGCCACTCTGCGGCATGTGGGATCTTCCCAGACCGGGGCATGAACCCGTGTCCCCTGCATAGGCAGGCGGACTCTCAACCACTATGCCACCAGGGAAGCCCTAGACAGATACTCTTAAACTGTTGAATTTCAGAAGGAAATGATGGGAAAATATGGGCTTTTAACTTATGTGACATATTTTTGCTTAATAATAACTCTAGTGATATACAGATCATAAGTACGTGCTCTTTGTAGAAAATAAATGCTTTAAGCCTATTTCTTATTGTAATGAAGTAAAAAGAATAAATACTATTATGAAATGTTTTAAAATAGTTAAAAAGAGAAAAAGTACATCGACATCTTAGCAGCTCTTATTAATACTTATTTGTGGGTATCTCTTTTCAGGAGTGTGGTTGATTTTTTTCTGGTGATAACACAGCTGGGATTCTGTAGTGTTTATATTGTCTTCTTAGCTGAAAATGTGAAACAAGTAAGTATTTTTCTCCAGTTTTTGAAATCATTTTCTTCTGATGCCATGGTTATGGCATCGTATTTCCTCTGAGTAAGCTGTGGTTGAATATGAAAATGTGTTTCTTTCATAAATCATGTATCTTTCTAGATTTTCCTTTAGTCGTTTTTTTCTTTGGCAAGTTGGATTCTGCTATAATTGAATTTTACGTTTCTTGCTATTATATCAATAATGCTTGTTCTTTCAGATCAAAACAGGCATAATTTACTGATTCTTGGCTATTTGGAATTTAGATCTCAAAAGCAGATACACGGATGTTTTGGTAGCATAATTTTTACATTGATATTTTATAAAAAAGTATATAAGGCATTAGCCAGCAGCCTAAAAAGTGAAGTTAAAAAGTGGGCATTATTAAAATCTCATAATTATTGCCATTGTCTAAAAAGATACTGTGTCCAGAAATGTACAGTGTTCTGTAGTTCTCTCCATATTATAAAGGTTTGTTTTAAGAGTGGTTTGCAGTCTTGGTAGAGACTGTCAATTTGAACAAACATGCAAAGCACTGAAATAAAAAAGCTCCCCTATCAGAATAATGCCAAAGCACATTTCTCTATGTGCTTTAACTGGTAGTTGGCCTATTATTCCTACTTCACCCTCTGCTCTTCTTTATTTTAATCAATAACATTTATTAGTATACACAAGTGCATGGTGCAGTAGTAGGCATTAGATATAGTAATATGTAGAACTTCTCATAAGTATTTTAATGCAGAATATGTGTTCTAAAGAATCTATATGTATATATCTAAGTATATATTTGACTCATTTTTCTAAGTTACAAACTGCTTCATTTTATATTTAGACCAAGATTTGGCAACATTTTTTATAAAGGGCCATAATAAGTATTTTCTGTTTTGCAGGCCATATGATCTCTGTCTCAACTCAGCCATAGACAACAATACATTAGATATGGCTGTATTCCAATAAAATTTTATTTGCAAAAATAGGTGGTAGAATGGGTTTGGTCTGCAGGCCAAAGTTTAATAAAGCCACCAGCTTAGGTTTTTAATGTTGGAAAGGGTCACTGAGTCTTTCTCTTATAAATAAGAGAGTTGATGGTTTTATCAGCACGACTCATTATAGATGATGTGCCTTTGAGTTTACAAGTATTTAGTTCCACAAGTCACATATTTTTAGGGCTGCTAACTAAGTTAAGAGGCTATTTATTGGCAAGATAGACATACCATCTTAGCAGTCATTTACATAGAATACAGTGGAAATTGTGCCTTTCTAGGATTGTGCAGCATGGTAGTACTATATCTTTTCTATCATCTCCTAAGAGGGCTACCAACAAGCTTGATTTAAAGTTATAAATAATGCTAATAATGCCTTATAATCTTATATTTATAAGCTATGATATATATCCTTTAATTTTTTACAACTACTCTGTAATATAAGTTCTATGCTCATTTTATGAATGAGGAAACCTAGTCTCACAGAGCATGACCAGTGTCCCCTAGGTCATGTGAATTGGGCAGAAACTTAGGTGCCTGACATAGCTGCCACACAGTATATTAATTGTTCATCACTGGGCAGGACATTGTCTGATTTTAGTTGTGTGTATGTGTATGTGTGTGACATAGACTGTGTTAAGTGCATAAAATAAATATAAGCTTAGGATTGGTGACTTTCTCCTATGAAATGATATTAGATGCTTCCAAAGTTGAATGGAAGAATTTAACTCATTTGCACATATCCTAAGAAGACCAGGTAGAAAAAGTGACTCTCTGGAAGGTAAGGAGAAGCTTGCTGTAGATAGATGAAAGATCTTTTGAGGCATGAAGAGCAACATGGAAAAAGACATTCAGTCAGACTTGAGACTTGAAAAGCTGCTTTCGCAACGCTGAGCACCTCACCTCCGCAGAGCAGACAGATGGTCATTGAAACAGCATCATCAGAGATTTTCCCTCTCTGCAGAGGTGTTCTCACACTTGATAGCAATCTCCAATAAAAGACACGTGGTTTGATTAAACCTTACTAATTGCTACTACTTTTACAGTTAAAATTTGTAAGGTTTTTACCTCCTTAATCTACATAAAATTAAAGTTTCAGTATTTCATCGAATCAAAGAATTAAGAGTTTAGTTCTCATACAAACATGTACATCTCCTGCTTTGTAACTGTCACATGGCTGTTCTTGATCCCGTTAAGCCACTGTGGACAATCGACAGGGGGAAAAGAACTGCGGTGCTTCCAGTGATTCTAGTCCGTGGTGGTTATAGTAGCTCCTCTCTGTTCTCACTCTAAGATACTCAAGAAAATGTCAGGTAGACAAAATAGTGTATATGGGCATGAAGAGTTGGGAAGGGATTTTACATTCAGAGGAAAAAACATGTTGTGATACCAAAGACCATGGACTTTAGAGTCAGAAGATCTGAATTCAAATCCGTACTCTCAGTTTTAACCCACACATTGGGTAAGACCCTCTTGTCCCTCGTCAAGCCTCGGTTTCCTTATTTGTAAAATGGGAACAGTAGCAGAATCTCCCCATGTTCCTCATAAATTTATTGTGAGGCTCAGCTGACAAAAGGTTTGCGAAAGCCTTTATAAAATGCATTATGCATTTTAGATGCAGTATGCAAATGTACCGTATTGTGTCTTTAATTCTGCATTTTAGCTTTGCTGAAGAACATAATCTGCCTTTGGAATTTTAACCATTAAATTACTGAATCGAAAAGTTAATAAATAGTAGAATTTAGTAAAATTGAGATCTAAATGGAAACAACTGAATTTAGTAATTTTATTTTATAATATTTATTTCAGTGTTTTGCATTTTGGTAAACATGTGAGATCATAGGAAGTCCTATTAGATAGCCAGTCTCTGTCTCTAGAGGGCACCAAAGGATTCAAATGTTTACCTGAATCTTGCTCTGGGTATGTATCTACATTTTTATTTTACTTTATTTTTTAATCTTGAGAATTTTTATAATCATCTTTCTGCCAACGAATACTAATTATTATGAGAGATTTGTGGTAGAATTGATTTCAAATTCCCAAGCACCTAATGACTCAAACAGTCCTTTCTAAAATTGGTTATATAACTGCTTTTCTCTTACCAGGTATCCTTGTTAGAGCTTAACTTTGATCATTATCTTATCTGATTATTGGACGTACTTCTTTGATACAGAAGTATTTGGCTGTAAATAATATGATTACAGAGGAAATTGGGTCAACAAATAAAATACATTCTTAAAAGCCAAGTAATGTGAATTATCAAATTTGCTTCTATTTCAAATAATAGAAAATAAAATTAAAAGTTTTAATGGACAATTACAATATAAATGAGAGCTATGCATTTCTTAAATGGTACATGGTGTAACCTGAGAGTTTGTTAGTCCTGTGTGAGTTATAAATTGCCAATATAACTTAAAACTAGTAGATATATTCCCTGCAGTTTAAGATGATATGTACATTTGTAGTGACACTAAACATTGCTTATTGTGGATAAGTGTAAAATTAAACACTTAAATTATTATTCATATCAGGAATTTGTTCTGTACTTCTGACTTTTTGGCCTTTTGTTACTGTATTTAAGGAGAGAGAGAGAGAGAGAGAGATGTCAAGGTGGAGGCCAGGTGGCTACTTGGGCAGGGCCCCTCTTTAAGGATTGCAGCATTTTGGTCAGGTAAACATGTACCTGTCACAAGCTAGATTCTGGGATCTCAGGCCTGGGTTTGAATCCTAGAACCAGGACTTACTGGCTTGATATTATATAGGGTTGTTTTTTTTTTACCCTCCCTAAACCTCAGTTTCCTCAGCTATAAATTGATATTAATACTACCACCCACCTCAGAGTGTTTTGAGGATTAACTGAGATGTTGTATAAGATTTAGTTCAGTACCTGACACATAGAAAGTACTCACAAAATACTTGCTCTTATTACTATAGGGTCAGGTTCTTAAGAATTTATGTATCCAGAGACTTGATAAGTCTTTGCATTCCGTTGTGTTCAAAGGAAGGTACAGTATTTGGGGCAAATAGATTTTCACTGGAATTTATATTATAGTTTGATCTGCCTGTGTTGTGAGTTTCTAAGATTATTTTTAAAATCCTCTATAATTTCATTTCTATTTTTGTGAGTTGGATTATGTGATTAATTGAATCAAGGACAATTTTTAATAAATGGAGCCTATAATCATTGAATCTCTTTTGAAAGTTGAATATAGTTTTATAGAAGTGGCTGAATAAATTCTGAGGCAAAGTTGATTTATCTTGTAGAAGTTTTTTGCTCTAATAAAAATTTATTTAGTATCTAGCATGCATGAAGATAGTTGATTTTTAACAAATATTTATTGACAGTGATAATAAGTCATCAGCAGTTGCTTTATAAAATACCTTTAAAGTTAGGCTCTGATTTCTAAATTTAATTTTGAGTACTGTACATTTCTAAGAGGTACTTAGAGATTGTTTCTTACTTTGAAAAAAGTATGTTAGTAGAATACCCAGTGGCCATTCTGGACAAGCATGCTTCCACTTTTGATTATCTCAGAAGCAGGTTGAGTCTTTCTAGGCATCATGAGCATCACAGTCACAAAGCTTCACAATAAATTAGTAAATCCATCCTCATAATTTTCTAGTGAACTTTCTTTTCACAGTATGATAAAGTTATTTTGCAAAGAAGATTATCCTATTTTAATTATCCTTAAATTTGATATATATATTTCTAAGACACTAGAGTATCTTAAAACTGTGTATTTTATTTATTGTAAATGAATTTATCATAGAGTGTATATAGATCATAATTTTCTTCATATTTCTCCTTTATTATTATAAGTTGATGGAAGTTTTTTTCCCCCCTCTTCCTTATTCTCCTGGTAATCCTGTATAGGTTCATGAAGGGTTCCTGGAGAGTAAAGTGTTTGTTTTGAATAGTACCAATTCATCAGATCCATGTGAGAGAAGAACTGTTGACCTAAGGATATATATGCTTTGCTTTCTTCCATTTCTAATTCTTTTGGTCTTCATTCGTGAGCTCAAGAATCTATTTGTGCTTTCATTCCTTGCCAACGTTTCCATGGCTGTGAGTCTTGTGATAATTTATCAATATATTGTTAGGGTAAGTATAACATGTTTTTAACTGTGTCATATGTTTCTTAACAAGTAAATATTTTTCACTTTGGAGGTAAAAGTAATGATAAATAAAGACTCTACTTCATCTGTGTCACACAGGAGATAATCAGGGAACTCTGGTTTCCTTCTCGGCGATACTGCTTAGTTGAAAAAGCAATGTATGACATAGAGGTTGAAAGCATAGGCTTTGTAGTCAGATCTGGTTTTGAATCCTGGTATGTTTCTGGGCTGTATGATAGTGCTTCAGAAGATAGTAATACCTGACTTATTAGAGTTGTGAGATTTAGGATCGTGCCTTAGTGCACTGCCTAACACGAAACAAAGAACTCATTAGTGTTTTGTTTATTCCTTTAAGATTTAAACCAATCACAAGAGACGGGAGTATAGACGTGATTTTATAATTTTCTTTCACTTCTGAACCTTTATGTGCTGCCACCACTTCAGCTCACTGCCACTACCCTGGGCTGTAACCTCTTTATCTGATGTATGCAATAACCTCAACTCATTTCATTGTCGGCAGTCTGGAGATTCTTAGCCCAGTTTCCTTAAAATATTCTATTGATGGGATTCAGGGGATCTGCACATCCCTTAAAATTATTTATGAGATTTAGTGTTTCTGTATGTATCTATGCATTTTACTACTGAGCAGCTGTATAGCTTTCATCTCTCATAGGAGCCAATGACTCAGAAAAGGTGGAGAATCCTATTTTTTCTTGATACAGTCCATTTTATACATTGCTGCCAAAGCAGTTGTCCTAAAATCTCCATTAGCAATTCATTACAAATTCTCTTATGATGGATCTATGTTTCCTTTTTGCCCCATCTTAATTCCAAAGCCTGTAGACTCTTTGTTATAGCATGTGAGAGTGAAAGGGGACAAGAAGGAAGATCTCACAAGGCTTTCTGGAGCTCGTGACCCCTTGGCTGGACATGTAGGAGTTGCTGGAGCAGAAAAGGAGGCTCCTTAGGTAGAGGGAACCATGTGAGCCTTGAAGTACAGTTTAGCCTTATCCAATAATCCAAACATTTTAATAATCTTTTCATTTTGACCCTAGCTTATGTTTCACCATTATATCACACAGTTCTACCTATGCTTCAGATCTTCTAAATCTATTCCCCAAATTTTCCCTGTGCTGTCACACTTCAGTTTCTTTGTTCATCCTCTTTCATTGGCCTTGAATTCCACTTCTAGTCAGGTGAAGGCAGAGAACACAGGCTGGTGAGGAGACTTGGGCTAGCTGGAAGAAGTGGCCATTGTGGACCCAGGGATCTTGAACAAGATGCACAGTCTGTGAGCTTCCAGATAATGAGAGTTAGAAGAAGGCTATATGAGTCAGGACCAAGAAATCAAAGCCAGAGTCAAGGCATAGGCACAAGTAATAAGGATAATGGCAACTGTCAGGTCAAAGAATAAGATGCTGAAACCATGAGGAGACCTGTTCTAGAGAACAGCATAGCGTTATTGAGATAGAAAGCCAAAGTCGGGAAATCTTAGAGACCAAAAGAGCAATGAAAGTAGAGTGGGGAATGAATTTCATTGGACACCGTCAGCAGTGGTTGATAACTGACTATATGGCTCTCAGCTCAGACGTTGAATATGCTTATGTATTTCCTGTTGTGGCAGGAGCCATACCCAGTGAGAACAGCCTGGGACTTACAGGTGGAAACAGGTAATCAGGAGCATTTAGCTCAGATGGAATGTATGGGCTTGAGGGAGACGATTGCTTTTGGCAGTGAAATCCTAACAGCTTGGCTACATTTAACATAGGATGCTTAAAGTTTTTATTGAAAGAATTATTCACATTTATAATACACATTTGCTGCTGTGAAGCTCAGAAGTATATGATTTCGCTCTTCCATTTTTAATTCTTTCAAGTAAGTAAAGATGTAACTTATTGACATCTTATTTTTTCTTTCTCCAGAATATGCCAGATCCCCACAACCTTCCAATAGTGGCTGGCTGGAAAAAATACCCTCTATTTTTTGGTACTGCTGTATTTGCTTTTGAAGGCATAGGAGTGGTAAGGATTTAGTCTTTATTACTATTTTTTAAAATCTTAAGTTAACACAAGGACTTATATACATTTAAAAATGCCTATTTTTCTTTTGTTTCTATTTTTTTATTCCTGGAAAATGGTTTGCATTTTGGTATGATAGACTTGAATTATAGTTTACTTCTTCTGCTTACCAAGACTTTTATCTTAGATGTATCACTTTTTCTTAATCCGTAAAATGAGAACATTTGAATAGATGATTTTTTAACATTTTATCATGGAACTTTTCAAACCTATACAAAACTTAGAGAATAGTGTGACGAACGCCTATGTAAGCATCACCCAACTTCAAAAACCATTAACTTATGGCTAATTTTGTTTGATCTGTATTCTGTCTACTCTAGCAAGTCTGGGTTATATTCAGACAAATCCCAAACATCATATTTTATAGACTAGATTACTTTAAATGAATTGAAATTGTTACAAAGTTACTATTGCCTAAGAAGAGTCAAATATAAATTCTCTTCTTAGATTTATACGTATCATACTCGTTTTGAGAAATGATGTTATCATAAAGCTAATACCAAGAGATACAAACATCCTGAGAATTCTGAGATCCTAAATATTTCCATTAAAGTTGCTTCCAGTTCATTTCAAGCCTAGAATATGTAGATTTGGGGAAAGTTGAATATTGCTGTTTACTCCACAGCTTATGTTTCGTAGCCTGATGGTTTGGTATGGGAGCAAAACCACTCATAAACATCTATTTATATGAACCGCAGACAAAACAGAACTAAAAGACAATTTTATGCCATTTTACTTGGGTTTCTGCTCTCTGAATTCTCCTTTATAGAATTCTCACTAATTCTTACAGCTCCTCTTATCTGTGTTAGAGACATAAGTGTAGATTTTCATTTCTGCTTTAACTAGTAAGCTCTAGTTAACTGTTGGACATTTCCAGTTAAGTGTTGTTCCTCTGACATCTCAAATTCAATAACTCCGAAGTCTGACAGATAACCTTTTTTTTAAACAAGTTTCACTTTCTCATTTCTCTATTTATTTTAGTTTTACTTCCAGTCACTCAAGCTTGAAATGTTGTAGTATTTCTTTTCACTGTGTCCCTGGTTTCCCCATTCCAGTCAGTAATTAAGACATGTTGAGTCTTCTTTTCATATTTCCCCAAATCTATTCCATAAAGGAAATTATGTGTAAAACACTTAATGCTGCTTGAGGGAGCCTCTGTAAATGTTCATTTCCTTCTCTTCCTCCTTTTCTAGCTGCATTGACACCATTCTTGACTTTAGCTTCTTATTTCAGGTCTGGATTATCTCCAGAACATACAAATTGTTCACTGTTCTGTTTTCTGTTAATCACTTAAAATTTCCACGTAGACCTGACTAACACACCTGAAAAGTGGAGATGAAATTAGTTATTATCTCATGAGGTTATTGTAAATACTATGTGAAGTATTACATGCAAAGCTTTTGAAAAATACCTAGCACATTGTAAGCACTCAGTAAATACTTGTTACTATTATTACTTAGTGTGTTTTACTGCATGGTCAAATTGTATGGCCAAACTCTCTAAATATTTGCCTAAAAAATTAACCTTTCAGTTAGCCTTTTTTCCTTTAAAGGTTTTTTTCCCCCATAATGAAAACATTCATCTTATTAAATTGACGGACGTTAGATACAGATGGGTAGGGTAGATATAGAAACAGTTATAGACATATATATACATGGGTTAGTATACATACATATATTTCCTAACTCTGTCTGCTGAGAGAACTGGAAGCAGTGGCACCCAGTAGCAATGAGGACACTCAGCACCCAGATCTTGAGTTCTAAATGCAGTTCTCCAACAAAGGAACCAAAGTTCTTTGGAGAAATAGCTGATTGTAGGGCTGAAGCAAGGAAATTCAATGTGGGTCTGGAGCATCTTGTAGTGCCAGAAAGTATGGAAGTGCTCAAAAAACGAAAGAATGGATGCATGTCAAAGGGACACAGGACCCAACCTGATAGAATTCACGATGACCAAAGATGGAATGATATGAGCAACAAAATAAATAATGGTGTTTGGGATTCATACTCAAAGTATAAAACAAATATACATGAATCCATACCAATACAAATAAATGGTTAAATAAATAAGTACATAGGGCAGATTTTCAAATAACTTATGTAGATACCCCCACTCCAGGAGCTCTAATTTAATCCCCTCTATCTGTAGTGACTTACTTCCAATGACTAGAGTATGATGAGGCAGGAGGAAAAATCTCTACAGGCAGAGAAACCTGGCAAACACTGCCTTGCCCAAGTGATCAAAATTAACTTCACCAGTGATAAATCATGTTGATAGCATGTGTGATGAGAAGGGCACTGCACCTCTGTGGTATCCTTTTCTGAAACCTATTTTCCCAGTCTAGTCATGAAGAAAACATCAGACAAACCCAAATAGAGCGGCAGTGTACCAAATACCTAATCAATGCTCCTCAAAGCTGTCAAGGTAACGTATAATAAGGAAGGATTGAGAAACTGCCACAGACCAGAGGAGATTGAGGAGACAGGACAGCAAAATGCAATGTGCTGTCCTGGATGGGACCCTGGAGCAGAAAAAGGACGTTAGTGGGAAAACTAGTGAAATCCAAATAAAGTTTGGAGTTTAATAGTAATGTACCAATATTGGTTCTTAGTTGTAGCAGAGGTACTTAGGTAGTGTGAAATGTTAACAATAGCGGAAACTGGTCAGGAGTATATGGGAGTCTTCTGTTTATCTCTGCATCTTTTCTGTAAATCTAAAATTATTCCAGAGTAAGAAGTTTATTTTAAAAAACCTGACAGATAGTTTTGCCTACTAAGAGCTGATTTCAAATCTTTTTATTTTAAGAATAAAAAAATCTGTAGTGTGAAAAAATATATAACACGTAGAAAAATACATTAACAATTATGTTTGCATATAAACTATAGAAAGATTAATTTGTGTACATATAAGACTGGATATTAGATTGTTTTAAATTACTTGCATTCTCTTCTTAGGTCCTTCCACTGGAAAACCAAATGAAAGAATCAAAACGCTTCGCCCAAGCATTGAATATTGGCATGGGAATTGTTACAACTCTGTATGTAACATTAGCTACCTTAGGATATATGTGTTTCCATGATGAAATCAAAGGCAGCATAACTTTAAATCTTCCCCAAGATGTTTGGTAGGTAGACAAGAGTTTGTTAACCTTGTTTGTGTATTTTATAGTTATAATTTACCAATGTTTCATGATAAAGGTGTATTCTTGGTTTTATGATTTAAACATTTAAAATCTTTACTGTGATTTCTTTATTTGTGTAATCTAAAATTTTTTCATAATCTTCAGAAGAGATCGTCTGTGATTTTACATTTTCTTGTGGGATTTTTTAAAAGATTCAGAATTATAGGGTGTTCCAAATTTGAGTAACATATAAGAGTAAAATATGAATTTTATTTTTATTTTTTGGATTTTTTGAATTTTATTTATTTTTTTATACAGCAGGTTCTTATTAGTTATCCATTTTATACATATCAGTGTATACATGTCAATCCCAATCTCCCAATTCATCACACCACCACCACCACCCCCTGCCGCTTTCCCCCCTTGGTGTCCATACAAAACATGAATCTTTTAATGTAGACTCACCTTATTAAAAAAATTTAATACTTATCCTTGCTGTCAAAAATCCAACACTCTGGGTTCCTGATTAAATAATACAACCCATCGCTCATGGCCCTCACTGTTTTACTGGTCACCTTTGATACTATATGTGCCCCAAGTCCTTTCTGAACACAGTTAAGCCACATTGTACAGTTGACCCTCAAACAACATGGGTTTGAACTGCATGGGTCCACTTATACGTGGATTTTTTTCAATTAACATATTAGAAAAAAATAATTTTAATTAATTTTTATTGGAATATAGTTGCTTTACAATGTTATGTTAGTTTCTACTGTACAGCAAAATGAATCAGCTGTACATATACATATATCCCCTCTGTTTTGGCTTTCCTTCCCGTTTAGGTCACCACAGTGCACTAAGTAGAGTTCCCTGTGCTATACAGTATGTTCTCATTTGTTGTCTATTTTATACATAGTATCATTAGTGTATATGTGTCAATCCCAATCTCCCAATTCCTCCCACCCCTCCTTCCCCCTTGGTATCCATACATTTGTCCTCTATGTCTGTGTCTCTATTTCTGCTTTGCAAATAAGATCATCTATACCATTTTTCTAGATTCCACATATATGTGTTAATATACAATATTTGTTTTTCTCTTTCTGACTTACTTCACTCTGTATGACACTTACTAGGTCTATCCATGTCTCTACAAATGACCCAATTTCATTCCTTTTTATGGCTGAGTAATAGTCCACTGTATATATGTATCACATCTTCTTTATCCATTCCTCTGTTGATGGACATTTAGGTTGCTGCCATGTCCTGGCTATTGTAAATAGTGCTGCTGTGAACATTGGGGTGCATGTGTCTTTTTGAATTATGGTTTTCTCTGAGTATACGCCCAGTAGTGAGATTGCTGGATCATATGATATTTCTATTTTTAGTTTTTTAAGGAACCTCAATACTGTTCTCCATAGTGGCTGTATCAATTTATATTCCCACCAACAGTGCAAGAGGGTTCCCTATGCCACACCCTCTCCAGCATTTATTGTTTGTAGATTTTTTGATGATGGCCATTCTGACCAGTGTGAGGTGATACCTCATTGTAGTTTTGATTTGCATTTCTCTGATAATTAGTGATGCAGAGCATCTTTTCATGTGTTTGTTGGCCATCTGTATATCTTCTGTGGAGAAATGTCTATTTAGGTCTTCTGCCTATTTTTTGATTTGGTTGTCTCTTTATTTGGTATTGAGCTACATGAGCAGCTTGTATATTTTGGAGATTAATCCTTTGTCAGTTGCTTCATTTGCAAATATTTTCTCCCATTCTTAGGGTTGTCTTTTCATCTTCTTTATGGTTTCCTTTGCTGTGAAAAAGCTTTTAAGTTTCATTAGGTCCCATTTGGGTTTTTTTGTTTGTTTTTATTTTCATTACTCTAGGAGGTGGGAAAACTGGACAGCTACATGTAAAAGAATGAAACTAGAACACTCTCTAACACCATACACAAAAATAAACTCAAAATGGATTAAAGACCTTAATGTAAGGGCAGACACTATAAAACTCTTAGAGGAAAACACAGGTAGAACACTCTTTGACATAAATTGCAGCAAGATCTTTTTTGACCCATCTCCTAGAAAAAAATTGTTGAGATTTGTGACAATTTGAAAAAACTCAGAAACTACGTAGCCTAGAAATATCAAAAAAATTAAAAAGTTAGGTATGTCATAAATCTATAAAATATATGTAGCTATACATATACAAAATATGCGTTAATTGACTGTTGATGTTATCAGTAAGACTTCCAGTCAACAGTAGGCTATTAGTAGTTAAGTTTTGGGGGAATCAAAAGTTATATGCAAATTTTCAACTGTGTGGTTTGGCACCCCTAACCTCTGTGTTGGTCAAGGGTCAACTGTAAGTAAATAGTATTAATATTCATATTAATATTATATACATCTTAATATTCTCTTTAATATTAGAACCATATTCTGCTAAATGAAACAGTATATTGGGTTTTTTCTTCTTCCAGAGATTGGTCTTTGGAGATTTAAAAAAGATATTAGCAGTCATTACAATGCACACTTGCTACCTTATTTATGAAATGGAAGGTAACTCCTTAGTTTTGATAAATGCAAAGAATAAATGCTGATTTAATTAATATCACACTGCTCCTTTAGCTGCTTGGGTAGAATTCTGTGAAACCTTAAGTTTAAATAGTATATATTTTGTAAAATAGATAGCTAGTGGGAAGCAGCTGCATAGCACAGGGAGATCAGCACAGTGCTTTGTTACCACCTAGAGGGGTGGGATAGGGAGGGTGGGCGGGAGATTCAAGGGCATATACGTACATGGGAATATATATATGTGTATAGCTGATTCACTTTGTTATAAAGCAGAAACTAACACACTATTGTAAAGCAATTATACTCCAATAAAGATGTTAAAAAAAATAAAGCATTGTTTCCCATAAAAAATAAAATAAATAGTATATATTTTGGCTGGCTTCCTAATGAGAGCTTGACTGCTATTCAGTAATCATTTGAATCCTGGGTCTTCACTGGAGTCCAGGATGTTGTTAGAACAAAGGTATGTAGGGAACTATTTATGACAGAGAGAAAGTACCTAGAACAGTTTCCAGGTTGCACAAGAGGCATACATGCAGTGTGTTTATCTTTTTCTTGTGAATTATAGTTTTACTTTAGCTATGACATATTTACAAAGGTATTTCAAGATGGAACATGTTTTAATGTCATACATTTGTTTCAAGCTGGAGACATGACTACAAACAAGATATACGGTTGTTCAGCATTTATTTCATTACCCTATTTTATAGTTGATTATGTAATTTTGTTTCCTTCAAATGTGCTTCTTTTTTTTGGTAATAGTTTAATGTGGAGTAGAAACTTAAACAGCTTAATATAAGAGAATCAAGGCTAAAAATTATTGTAGCTTAGTTCCTCTTTCAAAGACAATATAATGTCTAGAAAATAGGATGGTATTTTTCTCCACTTGGAATAATATTTAGACTAAATCCTGAAAACAAATTTATAAATAAATTTGACAAGTACTTTTAATGTCAACTATAAAATGTAGGTGGGTAAACAATCTCAGAATTCTTCCCTACTCTTACTCACGAAAGTATTTTAAGAAAGTCTTAAGGGTGAAGGTGAGAGTGCATGCATGTCAAGTTGAAATGTTCCTGTCTGCAGGGAATTAAGAACATGGTGAAGGAGCAGTGGGCAAGGCTGTGGAGGGAGTGCTTTCGGTATTCACAACTAAATCCTGAGCGAGTGATACTGTCCCTGCAGTAGCTTTAATTAATCCTTCCCTTTTTCTGCATCCCCTTCCCACCTCTTGCCTTATCCCTAATTGCTGTGGCTCCCCAGTTAGAACGGAACTAGTCGCAAGCCTTGATTAAAAAGGGACTATCAGATCATAGTTTCTATTCAAGAAAGGCTAGCTAGGCACCTGCTTTTTTATTTAGAAGAGGAGAGCCTTGTATCCTAAGAAACAAAAATCTGGAAAATACAGGAAAGCAAGTGAAGATACCCTCCTTTAGAGGACTTGTAACACCTTCTCATTGTGTATCTATGCCTTCTGTGGCCTATAGTCTTATTTCTTTATGGTCTTCAGCTGGGACAGTTAAAATACTAGCCATGGCTGAGGGATGCTGGAGAGGAGATGCTTGTCTGTTATACTGATAATCTTCCAAAATGAGAAGTTTGGACTAGAACAGTCATGGGGTTATATCTAATGTTCCTTTCTTGAAATGCTATGTATGAGTCTCTTCTCCCCTCAACCCACCCGTGCTTCAGGCAATAGGCCTAGCAATTTAGAGAATATACAGTGTACTCTTTGTTGGCTAGGCATGAAATCCAATGACTGTCACAAGAGCCTAGGGAACTCATAGCTGCTAGCTATGAGAAGCTGTAAAGGGCTTTTGATGCCACATTGACTTAAAGTCTCAGAGTTCACATGGGGTATTTCTACAAGAAAAGATTGAATTAGAAAGCAGCCCCAAAATAAAGCAAGTATGGATTAGAGAGGCTCCAAGTTATTATTATTTATTACCCTCAATCTTAGTGAGGCATCATTTTTTAAAACTAGTTACAAATAATATTGTTCAATATATTGCATTTAGCTTTCGAAGTAGAGGGTGTATTTTAAAGATGATAATGAAGTAAATTCACAATTCTGAGCTAGAACATTAGCACCTTGAGGGCAGGAACCCTGCATCTTCTGGGTTTGTGATGCATCTCCACAATCTAGCGCATTACTCAGCATTTAAGCGGCACTTAGTAAACATTTGTTAAATAGTATTCTAGGCATAAAAGCATTTCTCTTCTTACTACTAGTCTTAGTTGAATGATGTTTTAGCAGTGGTTTTCCAAGATTTCCACTAAAGTAACCCAAATAGCAGACACACTTCCACTAACAGATATCAGGGATATTAGGTTTTCATATAGACAAACACTGAGAAGCAGTTAAGTGGCTTCTGCTGCCTCACACATGGCATTCTTTGTGAAGCACACAATGGATAGGGGAGATTCAACCAAAAATAGGAAAGAAGCATATAAGAACAGGGAAGGTATGGGGTAGGCATTTTAATTTATTTAGAATATTGAACTGGGACTTCATTTTCCCCCCAAAACAGAACAAACCTTAAGTCTGAGCTCATGTTTGCAGCATATAGGAGCTAGGAGGCTGAGTATTCTGGGAAATAAAGCTGACAAATAGTGGCAGGTAATCCAGCTACACTACACCTTAATTGATCCTACCACACAATCAGGGAGCTGAACTCTGAGGAGTTTGTTACCTGAGATGAAAGTATTTAGGCAAGAATGGACTCACCAAGAGGCACAGTAAATAAAGAAGTAGAGCAGTAAATTTAAGGAAACTGGAAAAAGAAGGTTTGTATATTCTGGACTATTCCCTCTGTCCTCTCCCTCAGAAATTCTTAATGATCTTCCAATATTAAAGTTGCCTATATCTAGGAATCCTGGCCCAAACGGCTCTGCCTCTCCTTTCCTCTGTCTGTCATTTTCTTCCTCACAGTGAATATTATTAAATTTAAAATGTAGGGCATCTACCAAATTCATTTTTCATCTAACAGATATTTATTGTATGTGTTTTTTGTACTAGGAAGTGTTCCCAGGCACTAGTGATACAGCAGTGAACAGATAAAAAATCTCTCCCTCATAGTGCTTACATTCTAGTGAACATGCTACAGGATTGTAGCTAGTTCTCACAAAGACTTCTTGACAGATCTTAACCCTCGAGATTCTTGACAGTCATGAAAGGTCCAAGAGGGAAAGTGAGTTATTAGATTCTTTCCAAGAGTCGCTTCTATATTCAACCTTGAGAGAAAGAGAATCAGTCAGCCACCTATTTCCCAGTTTAGCTTTAAAAAAATTAAAATATTCTTATCTATGAATTCTGTTTAGGTATTGATTTCTTAGCCAATGTGGGGAAAAGAATAGAAACATTGCAATTTTTGAAATCCTCTGTTTTCAAAACTTATGTTTTCACTGGGCTATTTAGTTGTTTTCTCCCCCATAATCTGATTCTGTATATTGACTGCAAAATAATTATTTAAAAAATATATTTCTGCTCTTTACTAAGATACTGCATTTCTTTGCTACCAGTATAACAGACTTTGTTTTCAAGCAAGAGTCATTTTATTTTTGAAGTATTTTTATCTGTGATACTGATTAGATGTAGTTTCTAAGAGTCACCTATCCATACCCATTTTTGATCATTAATATTAATTTAATTAACATTTAATAAGTATCCCCTGCCAAGTGCATGGGGGGGTCATACAGAGAAGAATAAAACATAGCCTCTAACTTTCAAGAACTTTGGCACTGAGTTTTGTTTTGTTTTGTTTCTAAGACTTGTTTTCTTTCTTTTTCTTTCTTTCTTTCTTTCTTTCTTTCTTTCTTTCTTTTCTTTCTTTTCTTTCTTTCTTCTTTCTTTCTCTCTTTCTTCTTTCTCGCTTTTCTTTCTTTCTATCATTTTTAGCTGCACTCCACAGCATGTGGGATCTTAGTTCTCCAACCAGGGATCAAACCTACACCCGCTGCATTGGAAGGCAGTGTTTACTGGACCGCCAGGGAAGTCCCTGGCACTGAGTTTTAAAATACCTTTTAACGTGTACCATATGTTATTTAAAAGTTGTTTTATGTTCTTATATATCATCAAAACAAATTCCTATCACTTTCAGCAAGTTTTTTTATCCTTTTGAGAGACAGTTTACTGGGTAGATTCTTCTTTCAACTCTTCATTTCTAAAACTTAGTACCTATGGACAATTACCACAGATACATGCTTAAAACCAAAATGAGAGCAAAGGTTGATAAGATATAGAAAAGTTGAGTAGAGAAAAATAGTACGTGAACATGTAGATATCAAACATAGAAATTAGTGGGTTCTTAAAACAAAAAAGAAGTAAAAGTGGAAGAGTTGATTTTAAAAGACTGTAGCGCTTCTCTTAAACACTGATTTCTATATTACTCTTTGGTGGATGATTAGCAAATATACCAGCTTCTAAAAGACCCAAACCATTTTATTTCCCATTTCTACTCTGTGTAACACCAAGTGATAGTAATTACATATAATTAATATTACTGAATGGTATTAATAATAACCAGATTCTTAACCCATACAATTTGTTTTATATAAAAAGAAAAGTAATTATACTTATATATATATATAAAATGATATATTTTTAGATATATTGGTAATCATATTTTTAAAACATGTAAGTTAAAATATAATTAGAAAAAAAGGAATGTTATAATAATAAACTGATAAGAGTATTCATTTAATTCTCCACAATTACATATCAGAGTATATGAAGCAATCTTTTGGTTATTTTGTACATTTGAATAGCTTGACCATTCATGTTTAAGCATCAAGCTGAGAAATATATCTTGAATTATTTTAAAATTAAGATAGTATTGTTGCTGGCCCTAAGGCATTCCTTCTTGCCTTAATTATGCTGTTTGTAGTATTTTCAAATCTATTTCTCTCTCTCTCTCTCTTTTTTTTTTTTTTTACAATTTTTTCACTTTGTATTTTGGGGACTTCATTTTTTTTTTTTAACATCTTTATTGTAGTATAACTGCTTTGCAACGTTGTGTTAGTTTCTGCTGTATAACAAAGTGAATCAGCTATATGTATACATATATCCCCATATCCCCTCCCTCAAGTCTATTTCTACTCAGCTTTCTTCCTTCCTCCTTCACTCGTATGATGAATACATTATAGAAGGAGACTTACCGAATTCCTTCTTGCTTGACGACAGTTTAGGAAACTGTTTATAATCTTGACGTCTAAGTGATACCATGCAGTATTTGTCTTTCTCTGGCTTATTTCACTTAGCATAATGCCTGCCAGGTTCATGCATGTTGTTGTCTTAATATGAATCTAATTTTCTTTTTATTTTTAATGACTCAAATAAACAGAATAGATTGGTGGTTGCCAGGGGCTGGTGGATGGGGAAGAAGAGGAGAGTTTGGTTAAAGGGTACAAATTTTCGGTTAAAAGATGAATAAGGTCTGAGGATCTAATGTATAACATGGTGACTGTGGTTGATATGTGTTATATAATTGAAATTGCCAAGAGGGTAGAATCAAAGTGTTATCGCCAAAATGGAAAAAAAAGGCAAATATGTGAGGTGATGGATACGTTTGTTAATTAACTCAGTTGTGGGACTTCTTTCACAATGTATACATATATCAAATCATCATGTTGTGAACTTTAAATGTATTATAATTTTATTGGTCAGTCATACCTCAATAAAGCTGGAAATAAAAGAATGACTAAATTTTGAAATTTTTTAACAGGTTATATCAATCAGTGAAAATTCTCTATTCCTTCGGCATCTTTGTGACATATTCAATTCAGTTCTATGTTCCAGCAGAGATAATTATCCCTGTGATCACATCCAAATTTCATGCTAAATGGAAGCAAATCTGTGAATTTGCAATAAGGTCCTTCTTGGTTACTATTACTTGTAAGTATCACTGCATATTTATAGCATAATGATTTTTATTGTTGAATTTCTTATAATGAAGCTACTTAAAAGTATATTTTTTTATATTTTTAAAACAATTTTGTTCACCTAGCTGGGGTACATTTTGGTTTAAAATTCTGTTATTCTATATCTATAGAAGAAAAACACAAACTAGCTCCTATCACACTTAAAACAACTAATCAAATTATTATTTTGGAAATGACCTCACTCGTGATTGAAATATATTTAAATCAGATGCATAAACGACCCCTTATATTGTTGATACACATTTTAGTTTGGTTTTCTAGTTTTCCTCAACTTTTTTGTATCTGTTAACTTTTGTATATTTAACATTTTAACTCTCCATGTCTACCTGTATGAATGGGTTTTTTTCTGTTTTGGTCTTTAATAATTTCAGTGGCTTATTTTACTTATTATTTGAAGGAGAGTGTATAATCTCTTATTAAAGTTTCACATTGTAGAATGCCTCCACAAGGTAGAATTAAGGATGGAGGCTCGTGGAGAGGGAGCTTGAGTTTGGGATAGTGGAAAGAGTATGAGTTTGGGATAGTGGAAAGAGTATGAGTTTTACAGTCACCCTGAACTGACGGTTCAAACTCAGGCCTCCCACTTACTTGCTGGTGTCTTTAGGTAAGTTACAAACCACCTTTGAGTCCTTCTTTCCTCAACTGTGGAATGAAGATAAGACATTTTAAAATATTAACAAAGTAGTTAGAAATTATTGTTTTATTGTCACCACTTTTACGATAATCTCAAATAGAAAGATGACTGCAACACTGAACTAACTAATTGCTTAGAATGATACCAGGGACCAGATTACTGGGGATTTTGGGGAACAAGCAGCTTGGGAAATTCTATAGAAGATGTGAATAACCATCTTGGCCCACTCAAGGTTAGAGAATGGTAGAACTAGAAATTCTGGGCAACTCTGTAAATTACATTGAGCAGCTTGGGGTGGAGCTTATGCCTAGATTTAAAGAATTGGGTGTATTACATTGTGTTCAAAGAAAAAGCAAAACTGGGAAAATTAGATAAAACTTATTTTTCAAAGTAATCATTTAAATGAAATAAGTAAACTAATAAGGGAAGTCACATTGAGGAGTGACGTCAGTAAGCCCATACTTTGATGACTAATGAAACATTCAGGAGGAAAAAGTTATTTTAACACATTTTGGAATATTTTTTACACATTGCTTTTATTGACATTTTGACAACTACTAAATACAAAGACTTATTTCAGTCAAAGTCCTTTTATCAATAGATGTAAGACAGTTCTTTTCTGATAGTATGTCTCCTTTTAGAGTTAGTTACTGAATTTTAATAACTTCATCCGTTTCTGCACATGGGCTGCTGTCGTTATGTTGAGCTGCCTGTCTGCTGAGGTACAGACCATACTGCACATCTGTTACCAGGGTTTATTCCCAGAAGCCAGGACTTTTCCTCAGGAGCTGAGTTCATGTCACAGAGGATTGCAGCTTTTTCTTTGCTGCTTCTTTCTTTTAGTTAAAAGTAGGTAAACCTACTTAACCATATATGAGGGTTATATTTACAGCATACTTTGAACAAAGAGAACACAAAGCGTGCCATATTCTGTCCTACTTCACTGAAACACATCATTGGACACTGAGCTTCATTTACGTCTTTGGCCCATCCTTCCAAATTAAAGTAAAAGCCAAGTGATATTCATGACAGGACTGTTTTGAATCTGTTCTCCAAAGCACTTGAAAAGATTCTGGGTCAGGCTCTTTATCGATGAATGCGTGGAGAGCTGATGGGACCTTGTCATATCTGTAGAGCAGGCAGTGCAGCACTAGCAATGAGAGTGGAGGCTCAGCTGGGTTTGCATGTTTCAGCGTTCCATAATCCCTTCCAAGTACTGAATCCACGTTTACAGGATGGGTCTTCAAAGTAGTGGGCTCATCAGCTTGGGTTATACTGGTTATGTCCAAGTCTCTATTTAGTATTTGAATCACCATTTCACAGTATCTTCTTGGTGGAACTCAAAACCTTGAAAGGATGGGTCAGACTCTTCCTGCATGTTCCCTGTAGGCACTTACCTGCTAGATAGGCATCACACAGGTGAGGGAGAAGAGTGGATAGAAACTGGCCGAAGGCCACCTTGGGCTACAGTAAATGCCCTTTATTTTAAAAGCAGACCTGTAGAAAAAGCTGTTAAATTTTGATTTGACACGAGTATTTTGGTTCCCTGTTTGAATCGAACCTGCACAATATGTTAAACACTGCTTATTTCCGTTATTGTCCAATTCATTGATCCTTCTACTATTTCTAATTTGAAAAGCCCTTGGATTTGAGAGTATGCTTTCTACTTTTAGTAAACTATGACGACATAAAGCGTAAATCTTTGGTAGTTTGTAGAATACTAAGAAGACGTACTAAAATCCTTCATTTAAGTTAGTTGTCACCGCAGATGAGCAAAAGTACCATTCTGTACCCTAATATTCTATCTTAAGAGTCAGTAGGTATATGGAGAGGACCATTCACTCTTTGTGTAATTAAAATTTATGTGCTAGAGTGTTTCTCACAGTTTTGTTGCTGATGTTACAATATCAAGCATTTTATTTTTTTTCTGATATATCTGCTTTCACCATTTAGATGCAAAAAAATGGACCTAAATAGGCTTTTTTTCATGTTACAGGAAACTTTGTACCTTAAGGATACATTATTTTTCTCTATAATATAGTTTTGGGAAATACTGGATAAGCTTAATTAGTACTTAATAGATATATTCATAACAACTGTCTGTAAATGACACGGGGCAACCTGTTTATAGTAATTCTATAGCAAGTATTTGTAATGAATAAACTATCCTTATCCCAAGCTTTCCTCTTTGACTTACTGTTTTTGTGATTTTTGAGTTCTTCTGTGTTGGATTTGCCTAAAGTGTATATATTTCTCTTCCTTGTCTGACTAATAACATTATCAAATAATGTTTCAAGCCATTTTTTACTTGCAAATATCTATTGGTTATATAACATTTAAAGAATGACTTTAATCAGTAAATTTCATGATTTAAAAGTGTTTGATAAGTGGAATTTTAGTCTGAATGCGTAAATTCTAAAGTACTATAGTGTTCCTCCGCATGGTTTTCCAACATTTCACTTGATTTACTAGTAACAGATTGGATTATTGGAAAACACTAATGATGAAAACTAGATTCCATTCTTCAGATGGCAAGGTTGTAGTCATGTTTGTATGGTTGTCCTTTTAAATACTGCCACCTACTATAAGTAGGTGAGGCATGTTTCCACAAAATGGATATAGTCAATAAATTTTAAAAGGTTCTAATTGTGTTTGAGAGTTATACTTTATAGTTCCCTTGAGAGAAACGTTAAAAGGATGTAGCACGCATCCATTAAACAGGGGTCCACTTTATAAAGTATTTCTAGTTTAGAGTTCCAACTTCTGCAAATTCAGTTGCTTTACTTAGGAAGGTTTCTTGTACTTCAGCCTTGTAGGTGTGCAGCGAGATTTATGATTTCAAAATAATTTTCAGGGTTTTAGCTTTCGTAATAATTTAAATAAAAAGTGGTAAATAATAATGTGTGGTTCTAAGAAATGTGGTGGTTCCAAATTAATTCCACATCCTCCCAAAAAACATTGAGGGCCACAAAGAGAGTAGGGGAGGAGAGAAAACCATAAACTGAAAATTAAGACGCAAAGAAGCCAGTAGACTGCAAACTCAAGACTTAATTACAAAGAGCATGAATTAAGTTGTATATATACCACAGAAAGTTCAGTAAGAGACAAAGACAGAGAAAAAAAGAAAAACAAAAGGAGGTAAGCTTAGAAATAAAAGAGGGATCACAAAGATTGGAGAGAAAACTGATACTTTTGAAGACAAGTAAAGAAAGCTAACACATACATAATTAGAGTCCTCACAGCTGGAACTGTGGTTACATAGTCACCTTTGGTGGCAGTGGTGATACAGTTGTCACAGCTTTCATGTGAGCAAACTCAGCTGTTATTTCTGATGGCAACTCCAACCCTCAACAAATCATTCATTGAACCATCTAAGGACAATTTGGAGAAAGAATATGAGTCTTTTTAAAAATTTTTTATTTATTTTATTTATTTATTTTTGGCTGCGTTGGGTCTTCGTTGCTGTGCGCGGGCTTTCTCTTGTTGCGGCGAGCGGGGGCTACTCTTCGTTGCAGTGCGCGGGCTTCTCATTGCAGTGGTTTCTCTTGTTGTGGAACACAGGCTCTAGGCACGTGGGCTTCAGTAGTTGTGGCACGCAGGCTCTAGAGCGTAGGGTCAGTAGTTGTGGCGCACGGGCTTATTAGTTGCTCTGCGGCATGTGGGATCTTCCCGGACCAGGGCTGGAACCCATGTCCCCTGCATTGGCAAGCGGATTCTTAACCACTGATCCGCCAGGGAAGTCCCAAATATAAGTCTTGATTTTTGCAAACCTTCTGTCGATATTTGGTAAGATAAAGATCAAGATCAAGAGAGTGCCAGATCAGAACTTGCAGAAGACTTGATGGTAGCTTGGACCAAAATCCTGTTGACAATAATGGTACATTATTTTTTTTTAACTTTTCATTTTGAAATCACTTAGAAAAGTTGTAAAAGAAAGTAGAACTACCATAAGCCCTTTACTCAATTTCCTCTAATGTTATCAGCTGACGCACCACAGTATAGTTAAGGAAATTAACATTAATGCACTGCTGTTAACTAATCGACATTATTTTGATTTTGCCAGTTTTCCCACTGATACCCTTTTTCTGATCAAGGAGCCAATCCAAGGTCCCACGTGAATTTAGTTGTCATGTCTACTTAGTCTCCTCCAGTCTTGACAGTTATCTTTTTTTATTTACCTTGATGTCTTTGAAGTGTCAGTAATTTTGCAGAATTTCCTTCAGTGTAGATTTGTGTGATGCTTTCTTATGATTAGGTTGAAGTTAAGCATTTTTAACAAGAATGCCACAGGTGATGCTTTGCACTTCTCAATACATTACATCGTGGCATCAATATTTCTTATTACTGGTGATGTATGTTAACTTTGATCACTTGGTTAAGGTGGTGTCTGTCAGATGCCTCCACTGTAAAGGTACTCTTTTCCCCTTTATAATTGATAAATATCTTTAGGGAGATATCCTGTTCTCATACAGTTTTTGCCCACTAATTTTAGCATCCTTCAGCGACTTTTCCTGCAACAGTTATTACCGTGGTGTTTGCTTAATGATGATTTTCTATTTCCATTGTTTCTTCTATTTTGGTTAATTGGAATTCTAATGTAAGGAATAGCTATCTCTTCTCTCTCCTTTATTTAATGATTTATTTATATCACACCACCCCAGGTTTTGTGCTTTATAGAATGAGCTATAGGGCAGAGTAATGAAAGTACATTCTTCACCCAGAATTTCATAGCAAAAATTAAAAGTCGTTTATGTAAGAAACACTGTTGATAAGTCAAAGTCCGAGAAATATCACTCACTGTTTTGGTTTCTTTCTTTGTTTTCTTTTTTAGCTCAGAACAGAATGTGACAGATTCTTCCACAAGCAATAGTTTAGTAGTGCCTACTTGCATCAATTAATTTTAATGTAGTGACTGTATCTACAGTTAGTATTCATGTAAGTATTAAATATTTACATAAGAAAAATTTGTATTTTTAATTTTCTAGGTGCTGGAGCGATTCTGATTCCTCGTTTAGACATTGTGATTTCCTTCGTCGGGGCTGTGAGCAGCAGCACATTGGCCCTGATCCTACCGCCTCTGGTTGAAATTCTTACATTTTCTAAGGAGCACTACAATATATGGATGATCCTGAAAAACATTTCTATCGCGTTCACTGGAGTTGTTGGTTTCTTGTTAGGTGCATATGTGACTGTTGAAGAAATTATTTATCCTACTGCCAAAGTTTTCGCTGGCACTCCACAAAGGTCCTCTTTAAATTTGAATTCGACATGCATTACATCTGGTTTGAAATAGTAGAAGCAGAATTATGAGTCTCAAGTCTGAAAATGATGAAAATAAGAACCATGAGAACACATTGCCATACACTTAAAAACCGTTTTCTTTGGGCACAACATTGATATTTTGGCAGTAAATTATAATTCTTTACCAATACTGATAAACTACGACAGATTTGTGGTTTTAAGTATTAGCAGCAATTTCAAAAATTTTAGTTCTGAAAATTGAACAAATTAAAATGTTAAAAAAATTAAAGAATGAAAATGCTTCTGTTATTCTTCTCTCAAACAAATACTTTAACCAGGATTCTCTCTTTTACCTCCATGCTACTCTATTGCCACCCAGTTGAGGAGAGAACAGGGTTTCAACAATAAGAGAATTAAAGAAGTATAGATGACTAAAATCTGACCATCCCAATGAATTTTAAAGTATACTTTGTATATAATGTAGAAATATCTCGATTATGTTTTTATTAGCCAAATACTTACGTTTTCCCCGTGGAAGTTTAGAAAACTCTTATTAGCCATAATGTAAGAATCAGAAAATCCCTCAAACCAGAATTATTTTTACACTATTTTTTTTTTTTTTTTTTTTTTTTTTTTGCGGTCCGCGGGCCTCTCACTGTTGCGGCCTCTCCCGTTGCGGAGCACAGGCTCCGGACG